CGCGAGCTGGCGGCGGCGGCGGTGCGGCCGGCGGCGGCGCCCTGCGAGCCCCATCGCCGCCTTTACTCCATGTTGGATGGCCCGGCCCGGCCCCGCCGCCACGGGGGGAGGGGGAGGAGGAGGAGGAGGAGGAAGCTGGGCGGAAGCGATGACGTGATCCGAGCAGCCCAGCTGCGGCCGCCGCCGGGACCTAGGCGGGGAGGAGAAAGGGGGGAGCAGTAGCAGCGGCGGCGGAGGAGGAGGGGGAGGAGACGCGTCTGCAAACCAGCCCCTCCTCCCGGCCCTGCTGAGCCCCCCCACCAGGGGAGCAGCCACTGCGTGTCCGCCCCCTCGGCCGCAGCAGCAGGGCCCGGGCCCTCTCAGCTGGGCTCCCGCCCCGCCCCGGCCAGGTGCTCCCCCTGCTCGCAAGTGGCAGGGATGAATGGGCCGCCCAAAGCCAAAGGCCGTCAGCTGGAGCAGCAGCAGCCCTGTCCTCAGCTCACCCCCTTGCGTTCAAGGACTGCCGCATGTGCTGGAGGCGCAGCTGCACCCAGCCTGGCAGCGGGATTCTCGGCCCTTTGCCCCCAGCCCAGCCCTCTCGCCTCTCTCATTGCAGGTAGGGGACAAGCAGTTAAGTGCTGGAGGCCCGCTCTTTTATTAGACCAACTAGATAGTGGCAAAAAAAAAAAGAAAAAAGATTTGTTTGTGTTTATTTGAAAGCTTTCAGGCATGGGAGAATGCAAAGATTGTAACATTTCTCCCAGGTTAGTAGTCCCTGCCTTTGGTTTGCCCTTCAGCTACATCTGGTCTTACTTGCTCCTTGCTTCTACCCAGAACTGCCAGACCCAAGCATGGGTGAGCCAGGCAGGCACCTGTGTCCAAATAGAAAGGGGGCCCCCAATTGTTTTTTCTGTTGTCCGATTATTATTAACATTATCTCTGGCAAAGGTGGGCCCCGGGGCCACCAGGTACGGTGCTGCTTCTAGCGCGTTCCTGTCACGATGAGCTTGCTGCCTTTAGGGATATAGGGATTAGGTGACTTGGAAGAATTCAGCATGTTCTTTCCCACCCCTCAGAAACATTATGCTTTTTTATAAGCAGAAATGCTGGGCACTTCTCTTTGCCCAGTTTTTTAAGTGGCGTCAAATGCTGGTAGCATTGCTTTGTCTTTATCCCCTATACACTTGATCCCATACAAGATATTCCCCCTAAGAAATCCTTGCCCCTCACATGGGCATTATACAAATAGCAAACCTTGGTATGCTAGCTAGTGCCTTGCTCCAAGGATCTTGGTGCACTTTCCAAAATGATGTCTCAGGTCCAAGTTGTCCATCACAACAAGCACTGACCAGAAAAGCATGAAGAAGCAAAACACAAATACAAGGCACCATAATAGCTCTGACTGGAGCATGGCAGTGCATTTTTTGTTTATGTGTAAATGAGATAAAAATGAATTCATTCAAGCTATCTCCACCAGTAAAGCAGTAGAGACATCTCAGTTTGCTAAGAGTGTTTTTATTGCTTGTTTTCATAACTCACTTTATTGCATAATTATAACTGTAACACACCTCCCCCAAAGGCATGCTATAAAACAATCTTGCAAAGGGAAGCCAGTCATGATCTCTATGTACTTTTAAGCATACAGAATGAGTGCTTAGCCTGATGTAGTAGGGTTGAAGTGTTGTAGCAATGATAGTACAGGAAATGTATGAAAGGCATGGGTTTTTTTGTCATTTTTTTTTTTTAAATATGATGCACTACTTAAGGCTGATCCAGCAGGCACTTGCTGACGGACAGTGTGTGTACTGGCAGGGCAGGTTTGTACCTTTATAAACTAACTGAATCTGAGATGTATAGCATAAGCTTCTGTAAGCAGAGGGCTTACTTCATTCACCTGATTAAGCCAGCCGTCTGCTTATGAGAGCTTATACCCTACATCACTGATGTAGTTATTTTATGAAGTTGAAAATCTACCCTGCCTGTTGCCTGACTTCAGACTAAAAATGTCTGACTGCTTCTCATAGTGCTTACTACCATGCATATTTATATTCAGTGGAAGTACTCATGATAATATGCCATGCATTAAGTACATGTCTATAGGAGCCAGCCTCTAGTAAAAGATTTATTAGTCTCCAAACTAATCTGTCTCCATCTATGTGCACCAAGTAGTTTTGGTAACATTTATATCAAATAATGGCTCCATTATTAGTGTGTATTTGCTAGCCTTGTACACCTCTGCACAGGGATTCTCCTAGACTCCTTTAATTCCATTTTCCCCTGCACTGGCCATCAGGGTCACAGAATGCCTTCACATTGATGGGTGAGGTCTTTCTTCTCCTAACCCCTCACACATGAACCAGTGTGGTTGTGACCCGTATGAAGAGACTACTGTTCTGTGACTGATATTAACAGGGTTGATGGCAGATTATCCAGAACAACACAGGAACCAGCTTCTCCCAATTCACAATTTGGTCCCTCCATGGCTCTGAGAGCAGGGCATGTACATGCCGCCTTTTATGTGGGGCTAGCGGTAACTCCACAAGCCCTGAATTATTGATAATAGCTTTAACAAACACTTCAATCAGGATTTTCTTAAAGAAACAATCTATTCTTATTCTTCAAAGAATCCACCTTCTGGTTATATGCCAATACCTGATATCTAAGCAAAAAAGGGGCTGGTAGTGTCTGGCATGGGACTCAACACACTGGGAGCCTGATGTGCAGAATGCTAGCCTACAGTGAGTAAGTGTACAGTCTGCGTGGTGCTAGCTGCTGTGTGACGGCAGTTTCCTTGCTGCCAAGAGGCATAGCCAAATGGCTGAGGGGCCTGCAAGGACATGAGGAGGCCAAGCTGAATACCCACAGCACTGCTTCAGAGCCAGACTGGCGGAGGGGAGAGATGAG